GATAACGAGGACTATGAAAACCATCACCACGTGGAGGGAAGGAGGCACCTGATTTGTGAACCCAGTAAGTAAGTATACCTTGCATTACCTTAATTTTCTACCTCTGAATGATGCATTTCAATACACACACACATTTATTATTTTTAGTAAGGCAGTCTCACTGCTAGGAAAACTGGATATCTGAATTAATTTTAGTCATCAAACTTAAAGAAATAAATGAATGGGCGGAACTTCCTCCTCTACCTATCACCTATTTTCCAGCCTTCCCAGCCCCCCAAGCCCTACCCTATTGCTGTCCCTTCTCCTAACACTCCAAGCTGGCATGAGGGTCTTTTCTGCATCAGGCACCGGGCTATGTTCCATGAGGTCCAATCCTGACTCTCAAGGCTCTGTTGTTGGAAGCGGGGTGTACTACGCAAATTGAAAATTTACAAAACAATATGGTAAGTTCTTACACTAAGGATTGGAAAACCACAATTACTTTGAATAATTAGCAAGTGGATATTACTTTAGAGATGCTTTGTGCTTGGAAAAATTATTACTTATACCTTGGTCAAATAATCAGGAGAAGTTTTCAGAGTCAATGAGGTTGAGTTGCCTACTTGTGAACAGATGAACTGGAAAGCCAGGGCAATCGGTCTTACCTTATGGTAACACCTAAAATATGCAGCGCGTTCATCAGAAAATTTCTCCAGTCGCTTGGGGCCTTTGCTGGAGGCCTTCTTGAACACTAACCAGCATCGCTGATAAATCTGGAAGAAAATACAGAGGATGCATTCAGTATCACCACAGACTCGGGTATGATGTAATGACATTTGCATTTAAAGGTTTCCTTGTTGATGTTTTCACCTGTGAAATGACCAGAATCCATAAAAGCAATGTTACACTGGAAAATAAAATTTTAAAAAACCACAAAAAAACCACAAAACTGTTTCCACAATGGGTGCATTATGTCATTCTGACAATTACTGGAATCAAAAGAAAATAAGTATTCGAAGGCAAATTTCTTCATTTTTGATAACAGTATCAGTAGAAATATTTAGCAAAAACCTCCAGACATAAAAATCTCAAACCACTTCAAATAATAGAAGCATTCAGGGTGCATGCTCTAATTTCAAATGCAATTAAATATGGGAATCATGGGTCTGATACAGACTAAAGATCTCATTGGTAGTTGAAAAAGATAGAGCCTATTAAATATTTTTATGAGATATCATAAAACAATATAGTAATTAAAATAAATTATTTTGGCTTTCACCTTGCACAGTCATTGGTCTATCAATGGCTATAATGGAGACAAAAGTGGAATATTAACTCAATGGAGAAAGGTAGTCTTTTATACAAATGACATTAGAATAATTGACAACCCATAGGTGAAAACAAATACATTAATCTAAAACACCTATCTTATACAAAAACAAAATTAACTTAAAGTGGACTTAAATATAAAACAAAACTATAAAACTTTTTGGGTAGGAAAAAAAATGTTTGGAATTAAAGTGTGGACAAAGAGTTCTTGGACTTCATATCAAAAACACCATCCATAAAAGACAAACTTGCCCAGTGGAACCTGATCAAAACTGAAGACTTGTGCTCTGTGGAAAGCCTTGTCAAGCAGCTAAAAAGATAAGTTACAGCCCTGGCTGGTTTAGCTCAGTGGATGGAGTGTCGACCTGCAGACTGAAGGGTCCCAGGTTCGATTCTGGTCAAGGGCATGTACCTTGGTTGCGGGCACATAACCAGTGGGGAGTGTCCAGGTGGCAGATGATCAATGTTTCTCTCTCATCAATGTCTCTAACTCTCTATCCCTCCCTTTCCTCTCTGTAAAATATTAAATATATATGTATATATAAAAGATAAGCTACAGACTGGGAGAAAGTATCTGCAAACCACATATCTGACCGAGGAGTAGAACCTACAGTATAGAAGGAACTTACAAATTTCAACAGTAAAGAAACACTCCATCCCAGTCGACATAGATAAGACCTACGAACCAGGAAGTCAGGGTTTGATTCCCAGTCAGGGCACATGCCCCGGTTACGGGGTCAATCCCCAGTAAGGGTCGTGCAGGAGGCAGAGAATCAATGATTCTCTCTAATCATTGATGTTCTATCTTCTCTGAAATATATATATATAATATTTTTTAAAAGAAACACACCAATTACAAAATGGACCAAAAGGCATGAACAGACATTTCACCAAAGAGGAGACACAGCTGACTGAGTAGCTTATAAAAAAAACATTCCACGTCATTAGCCACCAGGGAAATGTTAACTAAAACCACAATGACATAGCATTATACCTCAATCAGACTGGCTAAAATAAACAACAATAATAATAATAGCACCACCACCAAATGTTGGCAGGGGTGCAGAGAAATTGGATCACTCACACAGGTGAACTGGGACAGCCACTCTGAAACACAGCTTGGCTGTTTCTTTAAAAAACTAACTAAGCAACATACGACCAGCAGTAGCACTTTTAGGAATCAATCCCAGAGAAACGCAAATTCCCCATAAATCTGAACAGGAATGTTCTTAGATGCTTTATTTCTATCCATGCATTATTTATACCCAAATCATGCATTATTATCTATATATACCGTATATAAAAAGTCAGCAACCAGAACATCATAATGATCAGAACATTGAACAACTGGTCGCTATGATGCCCACTGCAGCTAGCGAACCACCCGATTGGGGTGGGGCCCGCCGGCCAACCTCCTGCAGCCAACCTCCAACCCGGCAGGCCCCACCCACAATGGGCCCCCACTACCCCAGTCAGCTCTGTCCCTAAATGGCCTCCCCACATCATTCGGAGGTGGAGCTGGCTGGCCAATCTTCCACGCCTCCTCCCCTGGCAGCTGACCCCTAATCAGCCCCCTTACCCCTTTAGGGGGGTAAGGCCAGCGGGCCCACCACCCACAGCATCTCCCCACAGCTGGCCATGCCCCCAGTTGGCTCCTCAACCCAATTGGGAGTAGGGATCACCAGCCAATCACCCTTAGCCCCACCCCCCAGTGGCCAGGCCCTGATCAAGCCCCAATGGGGGTGAGTCAGTTGGCCACCTACCACAGCCTCCTCCTCCTAACAGGCCCAGCCCCAATCTGCCCCTAATGGGACCAGGCTGGCCTGACCCCACCCATGCATAAATTCATGGACTGGGCCTCTAGTCTATATATATATATATATATATATATATATATATATATATATATATATATATATAAAACCCTATTAATGCTAACAAACCAAACTGGGGATCACCTGAACAACAGGTTGCTATGATGTGTGCTGACCACCAGGGGGCAAGCGGGGAACATGGTAGGCATTGGCAGCAGCAGCAGAGCATGGAACATAGTGGGCATCGGCCAAGGCAGGATGGTGCAACAAGTGAGCAGGGACACCAGACCTAGGCAGGGCACCAGTCGCTATAATTAGGGCAAGCCTCTGGTGGTTACTGAAAATCCTTTGCTCCTGCATGCCATGGTCCCACCAGGCACTCACATCTGTTACCAGCACCAGCCCTGCTCACACCTGCTGCTGTCACCTGGCTCCAGCCCAGATTGCTTGGCACCTTCAGCAGGTGCGAGCAGTGGCTGTAGCCCCAATCACCCCTGAGGGCTTCTCTACCTCCCTCTGCTCCTGAGGGGGCAATCAGGGCAATAGCTGCTGCAGCTTGCACCTGCTGATGGCACTAGCCCCAATCACTAGACGACATCAGTGGGTGTGAGCGGGGCTGGCACCATCAGCCTGTGGGAGCAGGACTACTAGCAGATCGGGGACTAATCAGGCTGGGGCAGGGAGGATGAGCCAAGACCTGCCCCTGTGCCCACTGCAGCTTTGTGGTCCACAGTTCCTTTCAAGGTGCATGAATTGATGCCCTGGGGCCCTAGTTTAGCTATAAAAACAAATGAATTATTAATACTGTAGCAATTCCAATGAGTCTTCATAGAACTATGCTGGGAAGTGAGGGGGGGGGGGGAAGGAAGGCTGCTTACTGTATGTATATGTGCATTTATAAAATTCTTAAAATGATAAAAGTGTAGAAAACAGAATAGTGGTTATTAGGAATTATGGATTGGGGGGCAGAAGAATATGTCTATAAAAGAATAACACAAGAAATCCTTGAGGTGAAGGGATTGTCCTGTATCTTGACTGTTTTATTTTTCTTATTTTTAAAAAAAAATATTGTTATTGGCTTTAGAGAGGAAGGGAGAAAGAGAAAAATCATTGATGAGAGAGAATCATTGATTGGCTGCCAATGGAGATCAAGCCCACAACCTGGGCATATGTTCTGATGGGGAACTGAACCATGACCTCATGGTTCATAGGTCAATGCTCAACCACTGAGCCACTACAGTTGGACTACCTTGACTGGTTTAATGCCAATATCCTGGTTATAATATGCACTGTGATGTTAAAGTTGCTACTACCAGGGAAACAGGGTAAAGGTTTAGAATTTTGGGGTAATATTTATTACAACTGGATGTGAATCTACAGTTACCTCAAAATAAAACACTCAAAAACAAATTAGGTAAAAAAATGTAGAGAAATGTAACCAGGATCTTAAAATTAAAGCCACAGCTAATGACAGTCATCTATACTCTTCACCAGCTCTCCTTGTCCTACTGTCAGACTAGTCTATAATAATTAGCCACTAGACCAAGTAACTTCAAGAAGTCAAGTTATAAGATCCATGGGTAAGAGTTCAATCGCCCCTTTTAGGATGAAGACTCAACCACACAAAGGAACCTTCTCAGTACTGTGATTGGCAAAAAGAAGTCTTACCAACATCTCGCTTATGTCTGAATAACAGGCTCCCTTAAAATCTGACAACCACAGGACTGCAATTACAGTGGGAATGACTGTCACTCTGATTGTTCAAATAAAATGTGTGGAAATGGGTTTTTTACTGTCATTCTATTATTGGCAACTACTTTCTTTTTCACACGCCCCAGAAAATGTGTTAGAAATCAAGCAAGCTAAAGGTGTGTGAAAAATGTGCCATTACTGAAAAAAAAAATATTGTCACAGAGTTAGGTAGTTTAAATTTGTTAATTATGCTTCAATTTTTAGACCCAATCTTAATAGCATTTCTAACCTTTCTGGTTGTTGTTCATTTTCTCTACAATTAAACCAGTATCTGCCTGGCTTATGTCCAAAGGCTGTTGAGTGCAAGCTGACAATTGCTCAATTTCAGTAAGTCTAATGATTTCCATCCACCCATCTGTATTAAGTTTAGGAGATTTTTGTTTTTCTTTTTGGTAACTGCAATGTTATAATACAATAACTGCAAACATACTATCATACACATTCACGTGCAACATTGCTTGTAACCATTGGCCAGGAAGTCAACATGGAGTAGCTGAAAACATTAGTTCATCAGGAGATAAAGCAAACCAAAATCTAGGCTAATGGAAGGCAGTTCAAAACATACAAGCACATGGTACAAAACCCAACAGTGCAAAGTTCAGAGGGACGACTACTGTCAATGCATCCCTTTATTCTGTCCTACGTCACACATCAGCGACTCTCGGAGTTGGCCCCATTTTGTTCAAGGTAATCGTATAATGTGCTTATTCCTAGAGATGAGCCAAGTCTACTGAATCACAGCCTCTTGGGGTGGAGCCAGACACATGGGCTCTTGAACTCATTCCCCAAGTGTTCTGTTTGTAATTTGCAAGCCCATCCATAAATATTCATAAAGACTTTCAGACAATACAACGCTCCCCTCTGGGGCTGCCCACACAGCTCCCAACCCAACAACACTCCAGAATGAGGCCTCCGGGGTGTGCTTTCCCACAAGTGGCCCCAGGGGCAGGTGAGGGGCATGGATGGTGAAACATTAATCTACTCAGTAAACTCCCAATTTCAACTGCTGTGCACTTTCTGTCCTAAGAACATGGGAAAACCCATACAGGACCAAAGGATTAAAAACATATCCTGATGTGAGCTATAGGACTGAAACTCAGAGACACAGACAGACAAAGTGTGGTCGTTACCAAAGGGAAGCTGGGGAAGGGAAGGTTAGTAAAGGATAAAGGGGTCAAACATAAGGTGATGGAAGATGTCTTAACTTTGGGCAGTGGGCACACAATGCAATATACAGGTCTGTATACTCGAAATGCACACTCAAAACTTATATGACTCTGTTAACCAATGTTATCCCATTAAGTTTAATTTTTTTTAAATCCTAAGTATGTCAGGAGTGTTTAAGAGAAAATGAAACAGGACACAGGACTCAGTGAACATGGTAACACATGAGACTAGATGGGTTAATGCTGACTTTGTTAAAAAGATTAAAAGGATGACAATTTGAGAATAATGCCAATCACTTAATTGTTCAGCATGGTACTTTTTCTTAAAATCCATTTATTCAGTCATCTCCTTCCTATTTTAAACAACAGATGATTTTCAATTAACAATTTCCTTTCAATAGAGTGTTTAACTAAAATTTTTTAATCCTAGACAATAGGAAAGAGCAGTGTCTCTGGCCACAAAGAGTAGGTGACCCTCACAATAAATTCGCTGCTAGAGAGTTTGATGATGATAAATTTCATGTTGAGAATCTCCCCTCCTCCTATGCACTAGGGTTTCTTAGTCTTGGCACTACTGACATTTTAGGCAACATAATTTTGTGTAGTGGGGGACTGTCCTGTGCACTGTGGGATGCAGGATGCACACCAGCTCTTGGCCTCTACCCTGAATGCCAGGAACAAGCTCCCCCAACTTCCCTGACAACCAAATTGTCTGCAGACACTGCCAAGCATCTTCACTCCCCCTCATTGCAAGCTTCCCTCCTTGCCTGGCCACTATGTACCTGTATATGCAAATTAACACAACATCTTTGTTGGGTTTATTTGCATACTCACTCCTGATTGGCTGGTGGGCATTGTGGATGTACGGTCAATTTGAATATTTCTCTTTTATTAGTATAAATTCTGTTGCTGCTGGTGGTGGTTTTATTATACCTCATTTTTTCAGCCTTAAATTGTCACCAATCCTTAAATGATTCAACTATTTGTTTCACTGTCTTTCCTTTCTTTAAAACTTGATATCCTGAATACTTGATTAGCTCTGGCTTCAAATACCTGACATTTTTACTAGCTGCTTTTCCTCACAAAGAATATTCTGGTAAATTCACCAAGATTTCCAGTGCCAAGAAGTAGCTGGAATCATTGAGAATTTGTTTAGAGTTGCTAATTTTATTAGCAGTGCACCCCAACATGAACAACAGCCACAAATTAAACTTTCACAGGGTGTGCATGACCGTTATGAAAGCAACAGGAGCAAGTTTTAATCACAAAACTCTTGCTAAAAGGAAATTACATACTCTCCCTATGTCAGCTCAAGAAAAGAGGAAAGCTAAGTAAGATGTGACCCTTTAGGTCTTTCAATCTATTGCAAGAAAGAGTCGGCACACTTTTTCTGCAAAGAGCCAGATACTAAATATTTTATCTTTGACGACACTGGTCTTTGTTGCAACTACCAAACTTATGGAAGCAGCTATAGAATACATATGTGTGTGAATGCTGTGACTATCTTCTAAGAAAACTGTTTAACAATCAGGCACCAGGCCAGAGGTGGGCTACAGACCACAATTTGCCAACCTGTGGTCTAAAGTCTTAAGTCTCAACTGTTTAAACTCAGGTCACCTTTTGATGAACATAAAAATCAGTGTGGCATGTCCTTCAGAGGAAAGGATGAGGTGGGTGAAGAGGAAAAAATATACCCCAGGTGAAAATCCCACATCTTCCCACAAGCTGTACTTCAATAAAATTATATTAAAACTAGAGGCCCAGTGCTCATAGTTTGTGCACAGGGGAGGGGGGGGGGTTCCCTCAGCCCAGCCTGCACCCTCTCCAATCCAGGACCCTCCAAGGGATGTGCCAATCACAGTGATCATGCCAAAACCAGCAGTTGGACATCCATCTCACAATCCTGGACTGCTGGCTCCTAACTGCTCACCTGCCTGCCTGCCTGCCTGATCACCCCTAGCTGTGCGCCCCCCTGCCTGCCTGGTCGTCCCCAACTACCCCCCTGCTGGCCTGATCGCCCCACACAGCTGGCCTGGTCACCCCACACAGCCTGCTGTTCAGTTGTTACTATAAGGGCATGGTGATCAATTTGCATATCACCCTTTTATTAGTATAGATGTTGACCCTGGATGGTTTTTCTCAGTAATTAGAGCGTCAGCCACAGGACTGAAGGGTCAAGGGTTGATTCCAGATCAAGGGCATGTACCTCTGTTGCAAGTTCCATCCCCTGCCCTAGTAGGTCAGGGTGCATGTGGGAAGCAACCAGTTGTGTCACTCTCACATGGATGGATATTTCTCTTTCTCCACTCCTCCCTCCCTTCCACCCTCAGATCAACAGAAAAAATATCCTCGGGTGAGCATTAAAATAAATGTTGGCCTACGCCTTGTAGCACCTCCAAGGTATTTCGCTGCACCTCCCCACCCCCCATCCCCATCCCCACTGTGGAGAATCACTGCTCCACCCCAAATGCCGATGCTTTCCTGAGGAGCTTGTGCATCTGCAGACATCAGCATCCCACCTGTGCCCTTGGATATAATTAGCTTTTTAGAGCTGTCTTAGTCTCCAAAGTCAAGGTGCACTTGGAAGAAAAGGGAGCTCGGGACTGTTTCCATTTGGTCGGCATCCCCTTTCTCTACTCAGAGAGTAGGAGCATTCTCCTGGCTCTAAAGATACACCCTCAGCCATACACTAGCAATGCTGTTAACGTCGCTTCTCAAGCCCTCTGTTCACCTACTCCTAAACACATCATACTCACCTCCGCTGGGCAGGAAGAATGCTGAGCCCTGAGGTGCCTTAGCTCATTATCCCTTCCAACAACCTTAGGGGGCAGGTGCCACCATTATCCCCGCTTTCCAATGAGGAAATACAGCCAGCCACAAGGCAGTTGTTCACCAAGCAGGACTCAAGGGCACGAGGGGGAATGAGCCAGGACTCTGGCCTCGGACTGCCTGGCTCTGGGGAGCAAGCTCTTAGCCATCACCCCAGGATTTTCCCAGAAAACTGGGCTGCCAGGGATGCACATGGATCCGCTGAGCTCCGAGCCGTCTGTAAGAGCTTTATTTTCATGCTTAACATAATCTAAAAAGAGGCATTTCATTGTAACCATATGCTCTTTCATCTGGACAATGGCTTACAGCCAAGACAGTGCAGTGTGACATTTCCATTTGTGAGTTTGGTTCCCTGGCACCACGTGGCCACTGCACAGGAGGGGTTAGTGGAGGATTTCGGAAAGTGTTTGAGTCTGAAGACCCTGTCCAGGACTGCAGGGCGTCTCAGCAATCTGCAAGGAGTGTCTGCGTTCACAACAGTCCCACACTCCCTGTCCTTAAGTGACAGAGTATTCAGTGTCCTGCCTTCAGGTCCAGAAGTCCAATCGTGCTAAGTGTTTCTAGCAACATCGGGAGATATCTCCTGCAACTTAGATTTGCTTGGCCTGCCCCAGGACCTGCAGCCTCTTGTTCTTATTTGTTATGACTGCAGTAAAGTCTGGCTACTGTCTGCCTGTGGGCATGGGCGAGAGGTGGGGTGGAGGAGGGGGTGGACTGGTCACTTCTCTGGAACACCCAGCCCACCTGGGCTCCCGGTGCCCGGCTAGAGCTCCAGCGCCTCCCAGAGGTGTGCGTTCCTCTGTTACTCCGAGACTTTACACCACAGCCGCGTGACGAGGGCTGGAAATAAAGGGCAGGAGACACTAATAGAGAAGGAACGGGAGATAAAAATTCGCCCGAAGCTAGTTCACCTCCATCTGCCACTGTCTGCACATGCCTCCCTTCACAGTTTCAGAATCTTCCCTGGTTGACCTCTGAGACTGAGAGGCTAGAACTTCCTGTTCCTAAGAGTGACTCTGACATGGTGGGATTTTAGAAGGCGACAGATGGAGAATAGAAAAGGAGGAAACCTTGGGCATCCTTGAATCGTAACTCGTCGGCTGCTACCAACTGCACTTACCAAAATAATGAGCTGGTTCAGGATCTATATTTTATGAAGGAAAAAAAATCGTTTTAATGAGCCAACAACATGATTCCAGGACCATCATTTACATAGTTTACCTTTCATTTGCAAGGGAAGAAATGCTAATTTGAGGAAGGGTTCACAAATAGGTAGTGAGGTACATTTTAAACTCACTGCAGGTAAAAAAAAAAAAAAAAAAAAAAAAAAACAGGAAAAAAATGGGATAATTAATCATAAAATAAAATTTTAATAAAGAGGATTAAAAATTCGTAAAAGCTCCCACAGGCAATAAAGTGGCTATGTCATTCTTTTGCTGATGGTGAAGTAAATTATGTCTACCCTTTGACCTGGAAATATTAATTCTTAGAAACTTGGCCCTGAGGGAATAATTAAGGAACTATGCAAACATATGGGAAAAGAATTTTTCAGCATAAAAACTGGAAATACTCTAAATGTTCCAGGCAACTAGTTTAATTAATTCTGGCATACCTGTACACTGGAAATTGCCATCATTAAAAATGATGTTGTAAAATAATATTTATACCACAAAAAATGCTACTGGTAAATTATCAAGCATAAAATGTAGGCTGTCCGGCTTTTAAATCCCAGTTTCTACTTTATTATAAACTAGAGGCCCAGTGCACAAAATTCATGCACAAAGTGGGTGGAGGTAGGGGCTCCTCAGCCTGACCTGCACCCTCTCACAGTCTGGGACCCCTTGGGGGATGTCCACTTGCTGGCTTAGACCTGCTCCCAGAGATCAGGCCTAAAGGGGCAGACAGACATCCCTCTCACAGTCTGGGACCCCTTGGGGGATGTCCACTTGCTGGCTTAGACCTGCTCCCAGAGATCAGGCCTAAACGGGCAGACAGACATCCCTCTCACAGTCCGGGACCCCTTGCTCCTTACCACCTGCCTGCTCGCTGCTCCTTAGCCCAGCTGTGGAGGCATGAGAGGCTCCCAGCACGGCCACTGCGCTCCCCAGCCATGAGCCCAGCTTCTGGCTGAGCAGTGCTCCCCCTGTGGGAGCACACTGACTACCGGGGAGCAGCTCCTGAGTTAAGCGTCTGTCCCCTGGTGGTCAGTGCACATCATAGTGGCTGGTCATTCTGGTCGTTCCGATGTAACGGTCACTTAGGTTTTTATTATATAGATGCTCATTCAATAGATATAGCTCAGTAGCTCATATAAAGGGTGCAAGCTATAGTCCATCCTTTCATACCGGCCCTTATTCACACAAACACACACATGCACACACACTTACCGGTGAAATCTGTGCTTTGCTGGAAAACTATGCATTCTCTAGCACACACTGCCAAAGTGACCTGCCTCTGACTTGTAGAAGATACTCTCAAGTTTAAATTGTTAACAACTCCTAAAAATGCAAAATGATTCTGGTCCATAAAGATGCAATTCTGTTCCTTTCAGTAGAGGTTCCCTTGACTTCTCTCCCCATGGGGCTCTTCCGCCTCGTTTGGGCAGAACCTTTGAGCATGGGTCCCTCTGATTGCCCTTTGACCTGGTGATGGCATTCTGCTCTGTTCTCTCATTTAACCAATGAGCTAAGTAGAATCTTTGACATGTGCATTTTACGTCTTTTTTTTTTTAATATATTTTATTGATTTTTTTCCAGAGAGGAAGAGAAAGGGATAGAGAGTCAGAAACATCGATGAGAGAGAATCATCAATCAGCTGCCTCTTGCACACCCCCCACTGGGGATGTGCTTGCAACCAAGGTACATACCCTTGACTGGAATCGAACCAGGGACCTTTCAGTCCACAGGCCGATGCTCTATCCATTGAGCCAAACCGGTTTCTGCGCATTTTACATCTTTATGTCATAATTTTACCTGTTTTTAAAAATTCTCTTTTAACACGTGCAACTATCCCCAAAGCCTGTGTTTTTTACCTTCTAGTTAAGCCAGAAGCATTTGTCCTTCTTTGCTGGGGACTGGCACCCTAATCTGAGCCACCTCCTGACTTTCAGAGTGTTCCTGCCTTCAATCTATGTCAATTAGTACACACGGTGTGATGTTTACAATCTGACCACATCAGTCCACTGTTTAATACATGTCTGCGGCAGCCTTCTGCCTTTAGGGTAAAAGCTACAGCCACAAGAAGACATTCCAGAACCTGCAAAAACCTGTCCCTCCCCACCATCTTAGCCTTGTTTTGCTGCTTTCTTCATTTCTAAATACACAAGCATGCATTGGTTAGTAATGCTCAAACAAGAAACGTGTTATTGTGCAAAATTCTCACAGAATCAGTATCTTTCAAGGACTGTTCTTGCTGCCATGAGGGCTAAACACAAGCACATTTCCTCCCACTGTGTGAGTTCTTCTAGCTGGGCTCACAGTCCAACTAACAGACACGGATTAACAGGAGAAAACCACGTTTTTCATATGTGTGTATGGGGCATGCACATAAGCAGAAAAATTACAAAGACAATGAGGCAACACTGGGAATATATGTCATTTTGGACAAAGGAAGGGAAGGGGGTGTTAAGATTTCAAAGGAAATGGGCATTTTGTAGGCAGCTGAAGAAAAGCAGAACATATACGGCAGGCAAATGCTTGCCTCAATGGGCCATCCATCCACCAGGCCCCTACACGGCGCCCTCTTGTCTACCATCCTAAATTCAGGTCAGGCTAAAGGGAATAAGCTAATATTTCTTTCCTGGAACAAGTCTTTCCATCTGAATCTCTTAAGCAAGAAAGGGAGAAGGTCAAAGATTCTTTCTGGGTATTTTATTTCTTAGAAACCAGCTTACAATCGATATCTCAAAAGGCAACTTGAGAGTTTGGGTCCACACCGACACACACAGAAGGTCCTTCTCTGGTTGGTACAAAGCTGACCAGCGTGGAGAGGCCCTCACTGAAAAGAAGTTACGTGTCCACTGCTTTCTCTCTCCAATGCCCTCTGTTCTCCGGATCTCCATGCCAAGGAAGAGGGTGAGGGACAGGACTGGGTAAAGCAGCCCTAGCCTGTTTGGCTCAGTGGATAGCATCAGCCTGCGGACTAAAGGGACCCATGTTTGATTCTGGCCAAGGGCACATGCCATGGTTGCAGGCTCGATCCCCCCAGGAAGGGAACATGCAGGAGGCAGCCAATCAATGATTCTCTCTCATCATTGATGTTTCTATCTCTATCTCTCTTCCTTCCTCTCTGAAACCGATAAAATATATATATATATATATATATATATATATATATATATATATATATATATATATATATACATATATTGTATATCTGCGTAAAGCAGTAATATAGGGTGTCCCCAAAATGTATACACACTTTCACAGCTGATAACTCAATTTTCACTCTTTTTCAGGTTTAACTGCTCTGGAATAATGGGTGAAACCAGACTAAGCTTTGAACAAAGACTTTTATTCAGTAGACTTTTTTATGGCAATACATAAAAGATAATGCTACAGTACAAAACTGGCAACAGTTGATGAATTGAGGGCACACAATAGCGAACAAAATGACTCGTGATGTTGGAGATTCCATTGCTTCACATTATCAGCAATGCCTGGACCAGAACGGTCATCAATGTGAAAAAAGGCATTGACAAAAAAAGTATTCATTCCTACAGACTCTTTTAAATTTTGAAAATGAACTGTGTGTTAATAAACATTGACTTTATAATCATTCAAAGTGTATATATATTTTGGGGGGACACCTGTATTTATTTAGTTAGTTACTATGTCTAACCAACTTCATGGAAAAAATAAATACTCTAGAGAAATGCCAGAGACATTTAACTACTGAATGAGCATTTTATTCAAACAGAAATCTGGGAGCAGATATCGCTCATTCACTCACTCAAAATGTATTTACTGGGTGCAGGTACTGTTAGGTATTGGGCTGCAGCTGTGGACTAAATGGGGAAAACCCACTACCTTTCCTAGCCTTACAGACAATCAGTAAGTTATTAAGATATACACTGAGTGGCCAGATTATGATGATCTCTGAATGTATAATAATCTGGCCACTCAGTGTATATCATAAATAATAAAAGGTTAATATGCAAATTGTCCCCTCGACCAGGAGTTCAACCAGTAGGCAGGCTGGCCAACCGCCCATGTCCACTCCCTCTGGCCAGGCTGGCCAGACCCCATCCATGCACAAATTCATGCACCTGGCCTCTAATACACACACACACACACACACACACACACACACACACACACACACACACACTGAGTGGCCAGATTATTATGCATTCAGAGATCCTAATAATCTGGCCACTCTGTGTATATGTGTATGTGTATGTGTGTGTATGGGGGGTGTGCACATGTGTGTGTGTTTGTGTGTCTTAGAGTGCACAGATACTATATATCTTATGCTGTTAGTCACCATGAACAAAAATAAACCAAGGGAAGTGGGTAGAAATTCCAGCAGTGGGTATTTTGATGTTAAATGGGGTGATCAGGGAGGTTCTCAGAGTGAAGGTGGTGTCTGAGCAAAGACCTGAAAGAGACACGTAGAGGCAGGGGTAAGAGGTGGATGTGTGGGGGAAGAGGACTAGAGACAAAAGAAGCAGCAAATGGGCCTTGCGATAGGAAGGTGCCTGGCACCTGAGAATGAACAGGAGACCAGCGAGTCCAGAGAATAGTGGTGGTGACAGTGGGTCAGACTGGCCCTCCGAGGTCTTCTTGTAAACACTCTGGCTTTTTCTTTGAATGACATCGGATGTGCAATACAGAGTTTTTAATGGATGTAATTAGGGGTGGGGCAAAAGTAGGTTTACAGTTGTTTGTATGGGAAATAACACAAGTAATACATAAAAATATAAGAATAAACTCTGTGTTTCGCATGCTTACAGCTGTAAACCAACTTCTGCCCCTCCCTGTATAACCCAGTTTCTGTCCAGTAGGCTTAAGGAGCAAAAGGCAGAGCAGGGTGTCTGCTTAGAAGGCTGCTGCAGTAACCCACGTGGGGTGATGGGTGGTGACTTGGGCCAGGTAGATGTGGGGAAGAACAGGTGGGCAGAATCACATATACTTTAAAAGAGAACCAATAGCTTTACCGATGGGACTGGGTGTGGGGATGAGGCAAGGAAAAAGTCAAGCATGATTCTAAGATTTTAGCTCAAGGAGAGGACAGCATTTCCGTGACCTTAGCAAACCTGGAGGAGGACTAGGATTTGTGGGGAGGACGTCCAGTGTGAGGACGGATATAATGAGTTTGCCATGCCTGTTCTTCACCTAAGTTTACATAAACATTCTATTAAACATAATGATGATGCAGTTATGTATAGATGAGCTGTATACAGCTGACCCTTGAACAATGAAGGGTTTAGAAACAGTTGAAAATCTGTGCATATTTTTTTAAATGTTTGTATATAATTTTTAAAAAATGTTTGTATTGATTTTAGAAAGAAAGGAAGGGAGAGGGAAGGAAGAAGATTAGAAAGAAAGAGAGAGGGAGAGAGAGAAAGAGAAAGAGAGAGAGAGAGAGAGAGAGAGAGAGAGAGAGAGAGAGAGAGAGAGAGAGAGAGAGAGAGAGAGAAAGAGAAGAGAAACATTTATGTGAGAGAGAAACCTGGGCATGTGCTCTAACTAGGAATCGAACCAGCAACCTTTCAGTGCCTGAATCAATGTTCAACCAACTGAACCACACTGGCCAGGACTAGATATAACTTTTAATTGCCTAAAAACGTAACTACTGACAGCCCACAATTGACCAAAAGCCTTACCAATAACATAAAGAGTTGATTAACACATATTTTGTATGTATGTATATATTACATACTGTATTCTTACAATAAACTAAGCTACAAAAAAGAAAATATTAAGAAAACCATAAGGAAAAATACATGTACAGTACTTATTGAACAGCATCTGCTTATAAGTGGATCCATACAGTTCAAACCCGTGCTGTCCAAGGGTCAACTATATAATCCTTGATACATCTTATGCATATATGCATAGTCCATGGGCACAGACAATAGTGAGGTGAAGGCCTGGGGGGAGGTGGTCAATGAGAAAAAAAAGGACATCTGTAACACTTTCAGCAATGAAGATAAATTTTTTAAAAAATGAATTAATAGCACTATCTTCCCTACAGAGCTGGTATAAGCCTGGGATGAATTAGTGCACTTAACGGACATATGTTGCCTGGGAAGTGCTCCACAGCGGTTGTTGGATCGTACCATAGGTGGTGATCTGCATGTGAAGAGAACAGCACACATCCTGATTCCTTCATTTACTCATTCACTTTGCAAATATTTACTGAGCATCTACTATGTGCTAGGCCCATTCCCAGCACTGAAGACGTGGCAGTGAGCAAGTCCACAGACTCACTGTCCTGTGTACAGAGACAGACAAGTGCCTCTCCCAGCCCCTGGCCCAGTGCCTGGCGTGTGGAGGCAATGACTATGGGAAACACTACAGAGTACTGCCATTGGGTCACATGCACTCAATAAGTCTGCAGTGCAATTAAAAAAGAAATGAGCTCATGGTGGCTTCCAAAAGGATCCCAAAATGGTCTCTGAGTGATCACCAAACCAGTCACTAAGATGACCTTGCAGTTTCATGCATGAAAGGGTTAGAGGCAAAAGAATCGGACCCCCTACTGGTCAGGCCCTACCTCCTATCATTGTCTGCTCCGCTCATGACACACCAGCCTCCAAAATATTATATTCTCTGAGGAAGGATAACAGAATCTGCCGGAACGCTCTTCCTCTTACTGTTTGCAGGGCTGACTCCTTCGCATCCTTCAGATCTCAGCTGAAACTTCCCTATCAATTAGCCACCTCGCATCACAAATCACTCTGGAGCTCAGTGGCTTTAAGCAACAACCACTTCTCTCGTCTCAGGGCTATGACAGGGGAGAGGCAGTGCTGCTGATCGGATCTGGCTTCCCTGAGCCCGTTCATGCATGAGCAGCCATGTCCGGGTTGTCCTGAGTTTGCCTGGGTGACTCAGCTCTGCTCCACGAGACCTCAGATTCTCTAGCAAGTCAGCTAAGGTGTGTCCTCCCAGAGCAAGCAGAAGTCAGACAGAGAAAGCAGAAAAACCACTGATTGGGGTGGGGGGGAGATACAGGGAGGGGCCTTCATTACTGCTGGGTGGGGCAAGAGTTCTGTCTCCTCGTGCCATCTCCACGGACACCCAGGGGGTGGGGTGGTCACATTACCACTGGGCGAGGGTGGAAATTCTGATTTCCCACTAGGCCTCCCCTGACACCTCTCAGGCTGGGACAGGAATGGGCAAGAGTGCAACCACGTGGCCTCCTATGACAAACACCACGTGGGAAGGGCTGATTATCCACTAGCAAGGATGAGAATCCAGACTTCATAGACATCACCCAGTGTGTGGAGCAGGCCCCTTGGTAGGTTTGAAAGGGCTCAGCATGCACCATGCCAAAGTGTGCTACTTCGGCATGCAGGTTATTTTGAGCTGAAGGCAACTAAGAAACATTAGACACAGGAAGAGCCCTCTCCCCTCCCCTTTCTGCCTCAAAGCAAGGCATCCACCTCCTGTGAAGGGTGTGACCCAGACACACTTACAAAGATTTCCTTCTCTCACACCAAGAAGGCCAAGTGAGTCTGTATAACCAGCCGCACTACACAACCCTGCCCTGCTCTGCATTTCCGGTCACCTTCCAGTAATTTACTGCTCGAGGGGCTCAAACCCCTTTCTGTTGTCTAGTCCCTTCTCCACAATTTTACACCCTTTGTTAAAATGGTGTCTATGAGCCTGAACTTAAGCAATGTTTGGATTTCCACATCTTTTCTGTGAAGCCCCCATGAAGGGAAAACTATCAATGAAATGTATATGCCTCTTTTATTCATCTGTCTTTTGTCGTTTAAGTTACAGTATCCCAGTGCAGCACCTGAGCTGGTAGAAGAAAGTATTTTGCTCGCTGCAGAGTCTCAGGAGTATTTTGCTCACTGTGGAAGTCCTGGCTCCTGCCTCAGCCTTTGGGGTTTGGTTGACACGCAGCAGTCATTTTCTGTATTGCTAGACTGTCTCATTTCTGGTCTGTTGGTCAAAAAAATGGGGTTTTGGCCCAGCCAGCATGCCTCAGTGGTTGAGCATCAACCTATGAACCAAGAGGTCACGTTTGATTCCAGGTCAAGGCACATGCCCCTGTTGAAAGCTCCATCTCCAGCAGGGGGCATGTAGGAGGCAGCCAATCAATGATTCTCTCTCACTGATGTTTCTATCTCTCTCTCCCCACTGCTCCTTTCCTCTCTGAAATTAATAAAATTAAAAAAAAAACAAAAAAAAAACAAACCGGGATTTGTTCGGACTGTTTTATACCCATGGTGTTTCTGAGTTGCTGGCTTTCTTTAGCTACAAGTCTGGAATATATGAGGCCAAAAGAAAACCCAGAGAAATCACCACTGTGTTGTTCTCCAACCCTGAAGTCCCAAGGCAGCTTGGCTCCTCCACCTTTCAGAGTCTCCTGAGTTTGAATTGCATGATTTACACGGATGGCCAGATTATTATGATCTCTGAACCCATAGTAATCTGGCCACTCAATATATATTAGAGACCCAGTTCATGAATTCATGCATGGGTGGGGTCTTGCCAGCCTGACAAGGGGGAGGGGACATAGGCGGTTGGCCGGCCTTCCTGCTGGTTGAACTCCTGGTGGAGGGGACAATTTGCATATTAGCCTTTTATTATATAGGATATACACTGAGTGGCCAGATTACTATGCG